CTACATATTAAAAGACAAACATATGGCCTTAATCTACACAGTGACACGGAAAACCTCGACAAATCTTATTTACCATTTGTTGTCAATACAGATTAAATTCTCCTTTGCGCATGTCTACAACGTTGATTTCACTGTGCATATTTATGTAATTTCAAAATTTATTCAGTTAAGTAACAACTCTTGTCTGCGATCACTACCATGTAACAGCTCGAATTTGTATTTTGATCGACGTTTTTACGAACAGCACATTTCTGTAAGTCAAAAAATTATCTTTACAATGCGTATTCACTTTTTCATAATTTTTGTTAATAGTATTTTCATATATTATTTTTGTTAATTTTGTGATCAATTTTTGTAGAACGAATATGATAAAGACCAAAAACTAGGGTCGAAACGTCATATTTTTGCAAACTATTAAATAAAGAACTTCATTATTACATTTATACACAACAACTGTGCTTTTGACTCCAACTGCCTTGCCACTTCTTAAAATGTAAAAAAAAATATATTTCAATGTAAATAAAAATGAAAATATGGTGTCTTTCTATAAAATATATATATTGTGTTTTATTTTCCCTGCACAAAACCCGTCCTATTCGCACGCACTTTATTGAAAAACAAAAATTAAAACAAAATTGTTGCGTCATTATTCGCGCGCATAAAAAATAAATAAAAATTCTTTGATATAAGCTGTTTTTATATCACGCATTCTGCCGCTGCTGCAACGTGTTTCCTCGTACGTGTCTATCTTGAAAAATTTTGCGAGAAAGTTTCTCATAGTGCAATTTCAAAGTCAGAAATCAAAGGTCCATATATCGCAAGTCTTTCGGTTGTCTATTGCGAATCAGGGATGTAAATCTCCGGTTTTATGGAAACGAAGCTAATGTGTCTTATCCTGTTGACAAAAAATAGTAGAAACTATGTCTGAGTAACAGACGGTCAATGCCTATACGTGACATCTTAGGATCATTTTTTCATCGACGAAAAATTTATTTTAGGGTTGTGAAATCAATGTCAAGTTTATGGAAAAGCAAAAACAGACTTTTTCTTACCGCAGGCACAAAAAATGATAAAAACTTTATAGCATTTCCAAGTAACAGCCGATTTGTCAGTTTGTGACATCCTAGCTCAACTCTCACTTTGTAATTTTTGGGGGTGAAACAGCGTATAAAAGATCTGTTGCAAAGAGAACAAAACACAGTCTGAGTTCAG